CACCGGCCGAGGTCCCCGGGCTTGTGCCGGGAGCTGAGTTAACGATCGCTGTACACCAGGCGTTTGGAGAACCGTGGCCGCCTCCCCCCGCCCCCAGGAAACTTCGTGAACCCCCTGCCATGTATGCAAAATATTGTATCAGTGCCATTTCCGGGGAGCCTTCCAACGCTCTAAAAGTTAATGAGGTCTGTGATCAAAGTCAAGAGATTTAGAATAACCGACATAAATATTTCTCTTGGGGATTCAGCGATATGGGGTGGGACCCGACAGATATTTTAATATTTATTTAAGGAAACAACTGGGTGAGGATCTTCGTGAATTGAAGGTCGTAGTATATGTACATCAAGAATTTTTAAAAATGTCCAGCTCTTGTTAGTACCTGCAGATCACTTATGTAGGCATTCGAAGCTTTATTGGGACTTTGACGTGCTTTTGATGATACGATTTCTGTAAACCCCTCGGTTGTAGAATATGCAGAACTTGTTTGAAACAGTAAAAGCCGTGTACGTGTGGCCATATAGTCGATGATTGCTGTCATGCTGTGTAAAGACCGTGGAATCTTACAACCGTTTTTACCTTCGTTAGATTTCATTTATCCTACTTTCGTAATATTAAGTCTAAATGCTATATTGGATTAACTCATTTGAATGCATATTGTACGCTGCTACAGACATTAGACAAAGTTCAGTTTTACATTTCATTTATGGTTCGATGTTCTTTCAAGTGTTTTTTTTTATTTAATTGAAACTTTATTGTTTAATTGAAGCTTCTCTGGGAGATTTGTTGAAAACTCATTATGTAAAATTTGCTATTTTGTGTAATTATGCCACTGGTTTTAGTTAGGAAGGCTGTGAAATTAGTATTTCATTATGTATAGTGAATTGTAAAGCGGTTTGACTTGAGATATGAAAGTAGGTTAGGTTTTTGTATTGGAAAATTTAAGATAGAGGGTAATATAGAGGACTCTTGGGTTATGCATTTTGGCTGTTAAATTCTTGGACAACATGAAGTGCAAGCTTACTATTTTGGACAGTGTTTTAAGTTCTGTTCACTCTATATGCGATTTTAGAGCTAAGAATGAGTTTAATGATTTAAATAAGGGCAATAAGGTACTGGAAGGTAAGTTTATTTGGGAGATCAAGTAGGTGCATGATTTACTTTGTAACAGGATCTATACCACAGTATATTACATAGTCTTTTTTTTATGCACAAACATCAGTTATTTATCACATTTAAAATTTAGACAAATGAATTTCAATTTTCAAAAGTCTATAAGGAAAAATAAATCTACATGGTAATTGTTTAAAACAATTGAATTTGCATCATTAAACAGTCCAAAGTCATAAATTTGTTTACTTTTATTAAGTAATGATATTATGTGTTATTAACAATATATAGAACTTACAGTTTTCTTTTAAAAGCTATGTAGACAAACTTAAGGGAAGACAGTTTCTTTGGAGTTAGAAGAGATGGATTTTTGTTCAGCAGAACTTTATAGGGGTTTTTACACCTTGGTGTTAAGGAATGTGGTTTTGACACAGTGAATTTTGGCTTTCAGGAGGCTAATTAAATTTCTGCATTTTCCCACAGCCTGAAAAGGGTCTCTTTTCATTATTTTGAATAGTTAGAAAAAAACAAACCACCAGTCAACATCTTTCTAGTTCCTCCTCAAATCCCACTGTCTTGTGTGTGTGTCTGTGTGTGTGTTCATTTCCTCTTGAGGTAGTTTATATTTAAAGTTTTTTCCTAGTTAACTTTTATTTAAATATACAATTTATTTTAAGTTAAATTAACTGTTACTATTCTTAAAATTATATATTCGTTCCAGATGTATATCATAGAGGTTAGACAATTATATAATTTACCAAGTGATCCTCCAACACAGATTTGATGTGGTAGATTTTATTTAAAAGCCAGTCTTTGAAAATTTTGATATCTGAAATTTGATGTGTTCTGAGAGACTATCTTAGCTGAATTTTGGTGAGCTCTTTGGGTGGTATATACAAATTTGCAAAATAGCTACTATTTCTGTAAATCCACTCACTGGTTTTGTTTCATTTAAAATGTTAGACTGGTCATTTATACCAGTGATTTAAGAGAATGAACTTTGGTAATTTTAAGTTTTGGTTTGGATTTGTTAAAAAGAGGTAAATGGATAAACATAATCATTTTATTAAAGCACAACTATACTCTCCTAAATACTAAAAGAGAATTTGATTTATTAGTTGTTTCTTACATTTCTATTGAAGCTTTGCTTTTACATCATGCTTTTGCTAGGCTGTCCCATCACTTTTCTTTGTATTAACATTTCACAACTCATTGCATTCTTATTTTTATTATTTTTATTATAATGCTTTTTCTTTTTTTTTTCTTTAATCTTATTATCTGTCTTTTAAAAACTTGTTCTCTAACTTTGTTTTCCATTTTCTCTTTTACTTTTTCCATACAGTGTTGTTACAGATCTTATAGCAGTCGGTTTAAAGGTAGGAATCTTTTACTATCCTTTAATAAGCATTTTTAAATTTTAGTTTTGGCATTTTTTTTCCAATGGTGAAATCATCTCACCTGTTCATAAAATGATATGTTTTATTGTCTGATAATAATCTCTTATTTTCACTTAGCTCCATACTAAGTGCTCTTATAGCTATTTTTGGATTTTACATATTTATTGAGAGGCCACAATATTATCTTGTGTATCTAAAATGTGAACAGAAAGTTTAGCCCAAAGTTTCACTTGAACTATCATAGTGTGTGTTTATTTTGTTTTGTTTTACCAGTTAAATGTAACCTAGGTTCAGATTTATTTTGCTATCGTGTCCTTTATATCTTCTCTTGGGTATGCTTATAAGTAATACAATTTTAACAGCAGCTGAAGTTTCTTCAATTTCTACTATGTGCCAGCTGCTTTACATGTATTTTCACTAATTATTATAACAGTTCTTCAAGGTAGGTATTAATGTTCCCATTTTAGAGATGAAAAAATAGGTTCAGAAAATTTGTATTCAAGGCATAGTGCACCAGAGTTTAAACCCATGTCCTCCTGGCTCCAGAGCCTGGCTCTCCAGCCCACCCCCACCCCCCATTATACCTAGCTGCCAGTAATGAGGATTCTGTCTTAAAGGAGGAGAGCTGGATAGTTAATATTTCACAGTAACGCTTCTTCTAAGTTATAAGTCATTTTAGTTTTATCAAAGTCTTCTCATTTATTGGGTTCTAAAGTATAAATCAAGTCAGCGGTGTTCAACAACATGAGGCTTTTACAATATAAATGGGCGTTTTAAGGTTCCCTTTAGCATTTTGGTGTTTGGTATAGCTGAGTTGAGAACTTGGTTCTAGAAGCCACTTACAGTTCAGATCAGTGTAGAAAATAGAAAGAAATAATTCATAGTTTCATTATATGTGTCTTATATAACATTGTTACACTACTTTTTATTTATCATCTCTCTCGCTAGCAGTTTCCACACTTCCCCCATTTGCATTTATTGGGTCTGTTGGTGACATTTATATTCTTAAAACACCTTAAAAAATAAGCATAAGTACAGCATACAGCATTTGAGATTAACAATGGTATGTCCAAGATTATAATTGGGAACTCTTGCTTAAATTATCTTTCGAAGTTGGTGGAATTACTTGCTTTGGCAAATTTTGAGCATATTTTATAACTTGAAAATAAATGGAGGAGCCTCTTTTGGTGGGATGTTTCCCCCCAACCCCCCTTTGTTTTTTTCTGATATACTTAAGTCATTTTCTCATTTAGGGGTGATAGAGATTAGAAACTGCAGGAAGGAATATTTAAAGTGAATGTTGTTTTGGTCTTATCAGAAATGTAATTTATGATTCTAGAGCAGCCGTGGGCAAATGAATAAAACTAAAAAAAAAAAAGACCGTACCTTTTTATGTAATGATGTTTACTTTGAATTTATATTAGTTCACACAAACACTCCATCCATGCTTTAGTTCCGGCCCTCCGGTCCAGTTTAAGAACCCATTGTGGCCCTCGAGTCAAAAAGTTTGCCCACCCCTATTCTAGAGTTTGGTAAAAAATGAATACATGAGGCATTTTAAAAACAATCATTTGGATTGAGGAATTATTCTTGAAGGATTGTCATGCCTGTTTTCTTGTGGAGAAAAATATATTTTGATGATAGCTAAAAGAAAATGTTAGGCACAGGAACTGGATTTGAATACATGATTTGGATTTCTGACTACCGTTTTTGCAGCAAGCACTTTAAAAACAAAGATCAGATCCTACTCTGAAGAAAAGATAAGTTGATTAGTTGATTCAGTAGGCAGTCTATGCTTTTATAGTCTTAAATACTATAAAATAGGTTCAGAAAATTTGTGTTTAAGGCATGGTGCCTTGAATACAAGAGATTTCATATATAGAGAGATTTCTCATAAGATGTTCTGCTTCCTTGGATCCCATCCAAGAAAGTTTAGTTACCAAGTAGAAGGCCAATAAGACTCATATTTTATCTAGATTACTAGAGGCCTGGTGCACAAAATTCGTACACTAGTGGGGGGGTCCTTCAGCCCAACCTGCGCCCTCTCACAGTCCGGGAGCTCTTGGGGGATATCCGACTGCCACAGAGGCGGGAGAGGCTCCCGCCACTGCTGCTGTGCTTGCCAGCTGTGAGCCCAGCTCAGGGCTTCTGGCTGAGCGGCACTCTCCCTGTGGGAATGCACTGACCACCAGGGGGCAGCTCCTGCGTTGAGCATCTTCCCCCTGGTGGTTGGTGCATGTCATAGCAACCTGTCGTTCCGCTGTTCGATCTGCATATTAGCCTTTTATTATATAGGATATAAACCAAAATTAGTGAATTTAAATAAGTCTTTTAAAAAGTCGGTTATTTATCTTCCTCTATTTGCTGTCTGAATATAATGACTAAACAAATAGTTGTAGCCAGTGCCACGAGTGGATTCCATATGTTGCTTTTCAGGGGTCAAGAGTTTGGAATCCTTGCTCATACTTGATGTTGACAGTCTTTACATTAGCCATTCTAGTGGGTTTAACTGGAATTTGCGTTGACCTTTTGTGCTTGCACCCTTTCATGTGATCTTTAGCCATTCACTTACCATTTTTGTGTGAATGTTGTCTTTTGCCTATTCTTTTCAAGTAGGTTTCTTATAGATAACATATAGTTAGGTCTTTTTTAAGCCACTCTGACAATCTCTGTCTTTTAGT